AGAGAGAGAGAGAAAGAGAGAGTTGGTTCGATCGAAGTGCAGCCACGATTGAACTGGACACGTCTGACTTTTTGCCTGGATCGAGCGTCGCGAAGGTGGTGTGCATGCTAATTTTTTCTTTTTTTTTTTTTAATTCATAACAATTCGAGAATTTTGAGATTTCGAGATTCTCGTTCGATATACAATTATACGTATAATGTTGGTGGAAAAGTGAAGAAAAAAGAGAGAGAGAGAGACTCGTCGGTGGAAATATACAAGTGGTGGTTCTTTCTGTGCATTTGTTAAATTTTTAATTTATCGTGGGTGATATATATATAATATATGCTGTGATAATTATTCGCAATTGAGATTCGTATTTTTTTTTTTTTTTGAGGTATGAGATTCATTTCATACGTAATTGCTCAAGATAAGGATGATTATTCTTTTCTTCTTTTTTTTTTTTTTTTTAGGAGCATGATTCATAATATAGGTGGGCAAGACAATGGTTGTTGTTTATCGTGCCGAGTCTCGTTTCTCGGTTGACACGTGATGACGGATGGAGTGATACAATAACGCTAGGATTTAACAGATGACACACGGAAATTTATTCGATGAATCATTCATACGATTGGAGTGGTCATGTACAGAAATAAAAATAAAATCAACGTTTAGCGAGACGTGGTTGTCCCTGACCTTCTTCTTTCCCTCGTTCACGCTAATTTCACTCAATTTCTATTAATCTCTTTTATATATAACAATGTATATTTCTAAAAATTTCCGTTTAATTGAACAGCTTATATCAAGGGATATAACATATCGATTTATAATATATTATAATTATATATTTAAATTCCTATTAATTTTTATTACTATTTACAATTGTCAAAAATTTATTAATCATAGAAAAATATGTATTCTTATATTTAAAGATATAGATTATGTTATCTAGGATAAAATTCTACAGTATCGTATACCCTTTATTATTTATTACTACAATTGTCAAAAATTTTTTTCAAAACAATTGCCTAATCTATAAAATTCCTTCCAATCACATCCCACTAAAAGTTAATTCCTCGAGGCAAGAATCGAGCCGATATATTTCTCGAAAATAATAAAAAGAATACAAGTTCAAAGTCGAGGTAACGATAACAAGGGATTAACAACTTCACAGCTCGAAGCCAATTGGAGTCGGAGTAAGTCGACCGATCCGTGACGACGGCCAACACTGTGACCGTGTATCTCGACGTTTCTCTCGGGTGTTGAATCGAGGGCCTCCCTCGCCGCAACGCGAAGAGCGATCGAGGGGCCGCGGATCAACCAGAAATAATTCGTTCCCGTGTTCCAGAGTGCGCTGACACCCGCTCCACCGTATTATTTCTAGCGGGTCTGAATCACTGAGGCAGCTGGGATGGCCGAAATAGTCGGCTTCGTCGGCGGCTTCTGCC